TTGATTTATTCAAATCAATCAGAGATACTTGTTGACAGTGCAAAAGACAGCGCGTTTGCTAAGTATATCTATCGAGAGTTATAATCAGACATAATCTTCTTCAGGCTTTACAATGCTGGTGTTATGGTATAATCATGCATATTATTTTTCAGGCTTTCTAACCCTCACTGTGCTCGTGTAATAGTATAATCAGACACACTCTTCCTCGGGCTTTCTAACCCTCACTGTGCTGATGTAATTGTATAACCAGATATATTTTCTTCAGGATTTCTAACCCTCGCTATGCTGATATAATGGTATAACCATACATACTCTTTTTCAGACTTTCTAATCCTCACTGTACTGGTATAACGGGATAAAAAGACATACTCTTCTTCAGACTTTCTCACTCTTATTATCCTGATGTAATGGCATAACTGGACATAATCTTCTTCAGGATTTCTAACCCTCACTATGCTGATATAATGGTATAACCATACACACTCTTTTTCAGACTTTCTAATCCTCACTGTACTGGTATAACGGGATAAAAAGACCCACTCTTCTTCAGACTTTCTCACTCTTATTATCCTGATGTAATGGCATAACTGGACATAATCTTCTTCAGGTTTTCTAGCTTTCACAATGCTAATGCAATGATATAACCAGATATATTCTTCATCAGGCTTTCTAACCCTCACTATGATCAGACATATCATTTTTACAAGTTCTCAGACCTACTACGCTGAAAAAGTGGTTTAAGAAAATATACCTCCTTTCTAACCTTTATCTAGCAGAATGCCGCACTTTGCAAGAAGCAGATGTTTCCTGTTACATTACTGATATATGTTAGGTAAACTGTACACGTTGAACTGAGTTGTTAAGATTCGAAGGCGTGTAGCAATGAGGTGTAATGTATCTAGGACTCTAATATTTCAGTTTCGTTACTCAGTCTTGTAACTTGACTTATGCACTTAGAGAAAGTTCGGTAATCTCTTACGTTTTAACTTCTCATTAATCATTAAGGATTCTTAGTTGCTGTAATAAAGATTCTTCTACAAGTCCTAACAACACATGTAAAATAATAAAAAAAGAGATACAGTCTTAACCTGATATTTTTTTCGACTGGCGGCAGTTGTCAAAACCATGTTTAATGCTTTGGGATTCCTACTGTTACTTGAAGGAAGAACCACGTGTCACTCATACTTTACAGATAACTGTCGCACTAAATCATTCTGTAGCAGAGCAGGAGGTTTTAAAGTGGTATTTTTATCTGTTACGATCCTAACTGAGGCGTTAAGCAGATAACGGCTTAATTAGTTTCAGGTCAAAACAAAAGAAGTCCTTCTGATGGTCCGACTTCTTCAGGATTTATTGAGTTTCCTCATGTGACTTGTACAATAACAGACGATCCGATATTTTCCCCCTTTTTTTTTTTGATAACTGGGCTGGTTGTTGGCTCTATGTATTCCGAACCTAAGAACATCTATTACATGTAATTTACCTATCACCACACCCACTATAATTTATAGAGACACACACACATACTGAAACATGTAAATACACACACACTAATATATGCACATATTGAGTGAGTGCAGCGAATCATTAAAAAATATGTTGTATCACACGTGGAAGATATAGTTGGCTCAATAGACGTGCCATATTCACCACTGCAGAGAAACTGTTTCGTGCTTTGGATGTATGCCATACAAGTCTGCTTTGTGAAGTTCGTTTCTAACCGTCTGTATACACACAACTTTTATATGTGGCTGCAAACATTATATTCAGTCTCTAAGCAGGTGCCCTACAACTTTGATAACGGTGAAGTAGAATCGACAGACAGCAGATGTCTACTTTGTCCAGGAGTCCGGCTAACTGGACCATTGATTTACAGGTGGTTTCACTTATTTCAAAAGACACTTTGAGACCTTTATGGTCAGTCTACTACACGAGTGAAATGCCCAGTTGTCTTTTATAAGGTATAGTCGAGGTTCGTGAACAATGTGGAGCACTTTAAACTAAACTTCACTTGTGAACTTCACTGAAACATGATTGGTGATAGTTGAAACAAGATTGGTGATTTAAAGTGATAGTTGAAACATGATTGGTGATTTAAAGTGATAGTTGAAACATGATTGGTGATTTAAAGTGATAGTTGAAACAAGATTGGTGATAGTTGAAACATGATTGGTGATAGTTGAAACATGATTGGTGATTTAAAGTGATAGTTGAAACAACATTGGTGAGATCACGATATAAAGGTTGAGTGATTCATTGTTTGTTTCAGATATTCGCGTAAAGCTACACATGGGCTATCTGTGTTAGCCGTACCTAATATTGAGCTGATAAGTTAGACGAAGGCAACTAGTCAACGGTACCGACCGCCAGTTCTATCTGACTGAATGGTGGATTTGACCGTCACTCTTATAGCACATTCACAACTCTAAAGTGTGCGATTATCTTGTTTTTGTATTACATAACAAGACACGAACGATGAAACTGTAGATCCATTGTCCAGTATGTTATTTATTAGGGCGCACTCAGCCCATACAACTTGGAGTGTTTTTGCGGCAACAGGACGCGAACCGTCATTCCTCGGATCACAGTCTGGTCACTCTAACCACTTGGACAAGGGCCCGGCATGGCCAGAAGACTAGTGCGATCGACGCGCAATCTGCGGGTCGCAAATTCGAATCCCCCTCACACCAAACATGCTCGCCCTTTCAGCTGTGGGGGCGTGATAATGTAACGGCCATATCCACTATTCGTTGGTAAAAAAGTAACCCAAGAGTTGACGGTGGTTGGTGATGACTAGCTGCCTTCCCTCTAGTCTTACACTGCTAAATTACGGAAGGCTAGCGCAGATAGCCCTCGTGTAGCTTTGCGCGAAATTCAAAACAACTAACCAAACACTTGAACACAACTATGCCGACTTTCAAAACTGCTTGATATATTAGAAGCCCTGAGATGTTTTAAGCATACAGAGAAAGAAAACATACAAATATATGGCCATACATGCACTAATATATGTATATACACACGCTAATATATCCACATACACACACAAATATATGTACATACATATCTTTCTACATTTATTTTTAGGCTTTGATATGTATAGATTTCAATCTTTATTAACTCACGGAAGATTTATGTTGGAAGTGACAGATTGGCACACCTGTGATTTAAAATTCTCAGTGGACTTGTTAATGGGGATGTGGCAGAAAAATATACTGTAAAGATAGATTTTAATTGCAATTATTATGTTTAAAGAGTTTTGATGCTTCCATCACCTAAATATATTTTTGCATTGCTTATACGTTTCCTCTCAGATGGACCTATTCCTGTCGACTTGTCTGGTATTTAGCAATAGGCTGAAAGGCGTGGGATGTGATATGTGGCAGAAAAAAAAGACAGTTCTGAAATGTTACTGTTAAACGTCTGGGATTTGATATCTGCAGTGGAGACTGATAACAAGAATGTGACAAACAACAAATTAATCGTAACAAAGTATGGGAACGAGTGCCTACTTGAACAATCTGATATTTTAAGTGTGCTGAGATTCTACGCCACATCACATCCCGTGAGACTCCCCATAGATAAAACATGCCTGGAATCAACTGGAGAGATATGTGCTCTGCCTGGTACCTCCCACCTGTGAAGAATGAAATCTAACCAACGTAGTGAGATTTACCACTATTATCTGTCAGTGTGAACTGACCACAGCACTAAAATAAAACCAAAAAAAATCGCCAATAAACCTCACATACCTGCATGTTATTGATTACAATGAAAGGAAGAACAGGTGGAAACCATGGAAGAAACTGAAGACTGAGAACGTTCGCAAACTATAAGCTGCACTTATTGAACACCATTCTCTTTTCAGTCATGGCGTTTAAAAGTATTGGATATGTCATTCGTTTTCGCGACAATTAGTTTTAAGTCTTCCAGTAATCTCATTTTTTGCGACAGTTTAGTTTTAAGTTTCCAGTAATCTCATTTTCGCGATAATTAGTTTTAAGTCTTCCAGTAATCTCATTTTTTGCGACAGTTAGTTTTAAGTCTTCCAGTAATCTCATTTTTTGTGACAGTTTAGTTTTAAGTTTCCAGTAATCTCATTTTCGCGACAATTAGTTTTAAGTCTTCCAGTAATCTAATTTTTCGCGGCAGTTATTTTTAAGTCTTCGAGTAATCTCACTTTTTTTCACACGGCAGTACTTAGATAAAAGATCTTAAGGGCCTTATTCCTTTTAGTAACAATGTATCTTTAAAATGCTACGAAACCCATGTTCCAGTGTTTGGTTTTGAAGCTTATTGCTCTTTTGCTTCTGGACGCATGTTTAATGGAAGTTCTGAAACAGAATGTTCTTGTTTGTATGAATTATAACATTCCTAACGGATTTAGACAGTGATCAAAGCACTAGTTGCCATTTTTGTATATAATACTAATGACTACTCATATAGTGATTACAACACAACCTTTTAATGTTTTGTATCATAATTAAGTAACACAAATGCCCATCATAAATTCCTAACTGTAATTTGTAATAAAAATGTTTCCTGGAATAATGATTATAACATGTAACTTTTGAGTTCATGTTGTTCTAACACAAGTACACCTCCGAATCTATAGATATTATATCGCTCTTTTCACTTTTTGTTAACGCAAAAGCAATGTTGGTGTGGTGATTATAACACTAATTTTTTGACTTGTGTGTTACTATAACACAAGTATTCCTCCGTACGATTCTTACATTAACTGATTTTTTTTTGGTTATAAAAACAATGTCGGTATGGTAATTATTACACTAATTTTTTAACTTTTACCTGAGTATACCAATCTTGGTATAGTAATTGTAATACTTATTTTCTACCTTTACCTTACGATAACAAAGTTATGTCGCTACGATTCTTACATTAACAGACTGGATTGCTATTATGAAAACAATCTTGGTATTGTGATTTCGCTGCTTATTTTGTTCCTACAGTATCTTTAACACTAGAACGTGTAATTTCAGAAATATATGAAACCCCTGAAGAGTCCAGACAACGCAGGTATCGTTGAACCAAGCCTTGTTGATGAAATATTCCACCAGATACCGGAGATTCTCGTTCATCACGAGGGATTTCTGGAAATGCTTCGGCAACGTCTAACTAATTGGGATACCAAACAGAAAGTGGGAGACGTTTTTGTTGAAGCGGTAAGTAAATAAGTTTTTATTACATAGAATGAGTATTTTTCATCATCTGTAATATAAAATCGAAACTAAAATGTAATGTCGTGGTTTTTTTTTAGCAGAACCAACACAGAAACGGAGTGCTAAGGAAACATACATTTTTCGAGATCATAGTTAACCTCTCTGTAAGACCTTATCTACATGTGTCCGACTTTTTAAATGAAATTCGGAAGTAGAAGAAATAGGATTATTTCTTCAGCCTTCACGTTTTTAATGCTTACTCTTTCAGATGTTTTGATGAAACCACAAAATAATTCTATAAGTTTAACACACAAGAAAGTTGTGTAATGTTTAATGTGTTTTAACTTTTGTATCTATCTACCTATATATATATACCTTGTCCCATAGTTATTAACACAAATACAATGTCGGTGTGGTGATTATAACACTATTTTTTTTACTTGTATGTTACTATAACACAAGTTTTTTATGATATTTAACACCTTTCAATGATTCTGCTATTTGTTTTTCCACAGACGAGCGAAATATTAATAACGCTGGTCGTCTTACTGTGACCATACATTTGTAAAACTGTGTATGGCTTTGTACCTTGGTCGCCCTAGTGTGGCCAGGTAGTCTTAGTACTAGAGTACGGATGTGTACCTTGGTCGCCCATGTGTGGCCAGGTAGTCCTAGTACTAGAATATGGATGTGTACCTTGGTCGCCCTAGTGTGGCCAGGTAGTCCTAGTACTAGAGTACGGATGTGTACCTTGGTCGCCCTAGTGTGGCCAGGTAGTCCTAGTACTAGAGTACGG